GGGGGGGGGGGGCGGCTGTGGCTTGTCAGTGATGGGGAACAAAATAACAGAATAGGCAGAGGCAAGGGCAGGGCACCACTGCCCCGCCATCATATTGCCCCTGCCCTCCCCCCCAGCCCCGTGACAGGTGTCCTCTTTTTTAGACCTGGAAATATGGTAACCCTACCAGCTTGACCCCTCCCATGCAGGGATGCTGAGTTGTTTTTCTCTAGCAGATGGATAAAATTATATCCTATAAAAAGTGATCTAACATTGTCCAAAAGATCTCAAGCACAAGGTGGGTTATAGCCACCCAGGGTAATCCACTCCAGTGTTTAATTACCCTCCTATTTTATTCCAAGGTTGAATTTATTTAAACTTCAACTTCCAACTGTTGGATCTTTCTGTGCTTTATCTAGAAGGTTAAAATGGCTTTGCCCTTAGATAGTTTTTTGAATATGCAAGGGCCTATACATAGTGACCGAATCAACATTCAACCTTCTTTTCAATAAGCTTGCATAGTAAACTCATTAAAACTTGCATCATAAGCCTTTTTTTCCCAGCTTCTAAAATTGGTTCTTAAAATTTCCGCCAGCTACAAGCTTTATCATCCAACTAAAAGATGGTGTAAGAAAAGGTCATATTCAAGCATTTATGTAAAAAAGAAAAGAGTATATTGATCACTGATAATGTTATAGCTTGTAAGATTGTTACAAAAACTAAAGCCAGAATACTCCTATTTAAAAAAAAAGAAGGAAAATAACTTATAAGAATAAACAAACATCCACAGTACTCAACCTGGTAGAAGTTTTGACGTAAAACAAAAACCACATGAAGGCACAAATGCAAATAACAAATCAGGATATCCGTGAGTAGAGCACGGATACCCTGGGATAAAATTTAGTTCAGTGTATCATTTCACCAGGAATTATGCTAGTTTTTCATCTGTGAAGTATTAGAGCAGTAAAGAAATTCTTTTGGTTCCCACCCATAAATCAATTACAGATTTTTAATAAGTTTTAGAAAACTTTTAAAACTGTTTTTACACAGTTATGCTTGATGCTACAGCCAAATTTACTTTTCCACATACCTTTTGTGACATTGTTTTGTTTGGATTAGGAACTTTTGCTGAAAACAAAGGATCATTCTGAGAGCTACTGAACATCATTAGCTCATCCTTAGAATCTGCAATCTAAAACCGAAGAAAAATAAATTGAAATATAAAGACTTCTAAAAGTAAAACTATGTCTAAAAGGAAAAGATGGTGATGTCTACTCTCAATACACATACTGGCATGGGATTTGTGTGCAAACATCAAGAAAAGGATTAATACATTTTCACTTGATATATGGCTAGATTCAACTTTTTGTGGAAGATTATTACCCAACAACTCTAGGCATATCTGGATGCCATTGGATTCCTGGACTCGCGTTAGTTTGGCTGTCATCTCGAATAGGGCACAGACACTGCACTTCTGGCCTTGATCAACAATCTTCACCTGGAGATTGCCAGAGGAAATTGCCCTGCTTACTTTAATAGACCTTTCAGTGGTCTTTGATTGAGCTGGATACGAGGTGCTGACAAATCATTTACATGACCTGGTGGGTCATGTAAAATGGAGGGATGCTCTAAATTGGTTCCACTCTTTCCTAGCAGGGATGTCCCAGAGTGTAGTGTGGGTGAGTGCCCCTTGGGGCCTTTCCTATGGGGTCTCCCAGGGCTCCTTCTGTTCAATGTGTATGTGAGGCTGCTGGGTGAGACTGTGTAGAGATTTGGAGTAAGGTGCCATCAATGTGCTTATGACACCCATATTTACTCCTCTTACTTGAACCAGGCCTTGCAGTCTCAGTCCTTTCCCAGTGCCTGACTGTGGACAAACCAAGTGAAACTGAATTCAGACAAGACAAAGGTTATGGTGATGGGCAGACTGCTCAACTTGGTGGAGGAGGGGGGCTTGGAACACCTAACACTGATGGGGTTCAGCCTCCTCCTGACACTCAGATTTGCAGCTGGGAGGTGCTTCTGGAGCCCCTGCTGCACCTAGTTCTTTAGGCAGCAGCAGCGGCTCGAAGTGCCTGTCACCAGTTCCATCTGGTGAGAAGGCTGTGATCGTTTCTTTGAGGTCACCAAAAGCCATGCTCTTTATTAGGGCTGTGCGAAGCTTTGGTCACTGATTTGATTTGGGAGCCGAATCTCCGAATCTGAACAGAATCAGGTGACCCTTTAACCTCTACAAATCAAATTGGAACCCTTTGAATCGATTCGGAGAGAGTCAATGATTCGGACATAGACACAGCTTTAAATGTTTTTTCTACATACCTCAAGGTACCAGGTGGCTCATGAATGCTGAGATGGTGGAGCGGATGGAGCATCCCACAGGAGCGCGGGGGGATCCCCAGTGCACTCGGTGGCCACTTCAGCATCAAATTTTCAGATTTGGATTTGGCGAAATTGAATCGGGACAGCAATCCGAATCAACAAATTGAATCATTGTCCCCCAATTTGGGTAGAATCCGAATCCAAATTGAATACGGCCCGATTTGCATGCCCCATCTCTTCTTGGGGCTGCTCTCAGAAGCCATGCGGAAGCTGCAGCTCATGCAGAATACTGCAGCCCATCTACTGATAGGGTGGGTTGCCAGGAGCACAACCCCAGGGCTCCAAAATCTGCACTGGCTTCCAATGGTTTTCTAGGCACAATTCAAGGTGCTGATTTTAATCTGTACAGCTGTAAACGGTCTGGGCCTATGTGCCTAAGAGACTGCCTTCTCCCTTACACTCCATCATGATTCCTAAGGTCAGCTGAGAGCAACCTCCTGCAAGTACCATCAAGTGTCAAGTCCACTTGGTGAAAACATATGGGAGGCTGTTCTCTGTTGTTGCCCCTTAACCTGGAACTCCCTCCATTTTAAGGGCCACTAGAGCCCAAACTTGGACATCTTTTGGAAGAGCTGTAAGACCTTCCAATTTGGGTAGGCATTTAGCAAACAAAGCTGGGCTGGGATACTGAGTTTCTGGTTTCTGATTTCTCCTTGATCACACAGAGCATACGATAAAGCAAAATGCCTGGGAACGTTTAAGCAAGAAAGTAGTTACTTAGGGAGAACTTTGGGGTAACAATGAAAAGTAACAGGAGTGCATTAAGCAAATTAAGTGTACAGTCCATATTAGGAAAAACTTTCTGTTTCTACTGGACTATGAGGTGTTCTTCCAGTGGAAGCAACTTCATTTGGATTTACAGGCACTTAGAAAGACTGGATTAATGAAAGCTAAGCAGTATGGCTGAGTGAGAAGGCAACCACATAGGTAGGGACCTGCCTAAATCACGATGGAAGTGTGCTATGCAGAGGCTCCTTTAATCTTGCTCTTTTCACCACGTGCCCCATCACCACTGATTGGTGGAGAGGCCCTGGCAGCCCTGCTGCTCGCTGCTCATTGACTGGGAGGCAAAGACTGCAGTTTTAAATATGCTGCACTTTTTTGCTTCCTGCCACTGATTGGCTGAAGGGCTCTGGTGGCCTTGCTGCTGATCAGTTGGAAGGCAAAAAACATGGAATATTTAAAAGCACAGTCTTTGCCTCTTGGCCAATCAGCAGGAAGCAGCAGGGCCACCAAGGCCCCTTGGGCAATCAGGGTTGGGAGATGGAGTGCAGTGAAAAGAAAAAGATTAAAGGAGCTTCTGCACAGTGCACCTTTGCTGCTATTTAGGTAGGTTCCTACACATAGGAGTAGGCTCTCTCATATGACTTTCAGTTCCTTACCATGTATGAATTGGTAAATTATAATGTACACTACAAATTCCTATGAACATGTAATATGATATAACATTTAAGGTTTCACTTTATAAAGCATATAATAAATCACAAGAGTTTCTCAATCATTTCATTTATTAGTGCACTCTGGCTCCTCTTCAGTTCAGAATGTATTTCAGTTCAAAAAGTATTTATAATTCTAAAATACTTTATGGTGCAAATAGCTGCCAGTTAATGATGCAAGTTATTGAAAACTCCTGTATTTACCTTGCTGATATCAGACTCTGATTTGCTGGAACACATACTCTGAAGTTCTCGCACAAGGTCTACTTCATCGTCAAAACCAAGGGACAGCCTTTGCTCCAGATCTAATACTCTTATCTGATCATTCTCTGGGGATCTATGAAAACAAAACAAGAAAAAAAGTAACTGAACAAGGGCCATGACACAATCAAACGGTTATCTTTGAGGGCTTCAATGATAGCATTCTCTTTTTACAAACACTGTACAACTGCACAGTGATCTCAGCAACTTTCTGCAGTACAAATACTATCCCAGATGCAGGCTGCTGTAGCTCTCAATGTTTAATTTTGTTGCTTAATTACAGACCTTCTCCTATTCAATTTAATCTCCGATCTCCACCATTCCAATGAGAGATGTTTCTGCTAGCATGTACAACTGCCTAAATCAGTTCAATGCCAAAGCTCTCAGCTGCTCATTTTTTGGACAGAAGATATTGTTTTAGAAATGCAAAGGATTAGGTGCCTCTGCAAAGCTGTGAATATGATGGTCTCTAAGTCTCAAATCTCGACTTCAATCTCCTATGTGGTAGCACAAAATGCAGCTCCCTTCTGCCGCTTCCATTAGCTACTTAAAGAAATCCTGTTATTTAAGCTAAAATGCAAGTATTTTACATTTTTAGATTGTCAGCCACCAGGCTGAACTAGCCAGAGGTTCTTTTTGGTATGACTTCAGGTGAAAAGGCAGCCATCTGCCTTTTGTAAGGCCAAATATTTGGAATCTTATATACTATTACTCAGGTCTTAGACAGTTTGAACAACACACAGAAGTAAACTTTGCAAGCTTTGAGCTACCAAAACAAGGCACAAAAGCCTGAAATTATTTTTCCAGAATTAGAGTGAAAAAAGCCTGCAATTCTTTAGTTCTGAAACTAAAGAGCATCCAAATCCAATAAAAACTCCATTTGCTCACAAAAGTGAACTGATTTGCGATACAATTCTGCTATCTTTACTTTTTGCTAGGTACTAGAATCCAAAACCTACTTACTTTTTGGTGAGAGAAGCCTTTTTGTTACTATTTTGTTGCAATGTGCTCTTAGCTTTCACTCCTGCAAAAGGAGGCAAAGTTAAGTTATTAGTACAAAGCATAATGCTATATTGTTATTCTCATTCATTGGTTAATTATACTCTCAACGGCTAAAAGTGCAGCATACGTTAGCCATGTCCTCTGTATCTTTTCAGAATAGCTTTAAGGTCCCACTGCATTGCTGAATTAGACAAAGGGGCCAGGGCTACCCCTTTCTTAAGGCAAGTTGGCTATAGTAGGCTTCCTTCCCCCCTCCAAGTTCTGCCAAATGCCTGCAAGTAACATATCTCCTGATCCATCCAAACAGAAATTACTAGTCAAATGAGGGGAGGAAGGAAAACAACCAACTTTGAAATGATGAGTCTCTCCTGGTATGGCAACTGCACCATACCTCTGATCATTTTTGTTTCCCTATTTTGCGACTTTTCTAATTCTACTACATCCTTTTTGAGATGCAAAGACCAGAACTGCACACAGTATTTGAAATGTGGATGCACCACAGGCTTGTATAATGGCATGATGATGTTCTCCATTTTGAGATAGATAAAAGTGGGCATTTCTATAGGTGACATTAATTCAAAGTATATTTTACTTACATAGTACTTTTACTGTACAGTAAAGTCCCAGTAAGCCTACCTAGGAGCATGTCCACATGTGCTCCCTCTTGCTTCCGCCCTGCTCTACCACCTGCAACAGCCAGGGGGAGCTTTATCCTCATGCTTCCTGCCAGCCACCAGTAGATTAGTATATGGTGTAGTAAAGCATCTTGTGTGAACACACCCAGAGTATGACTAACTTGCACTTCCAACATAATTTCTTACTGTATCCTTTGTCATTCTTTAGAGGTCTACCATCCACATTCTAAATTGGTTTAAGTCAAATTAGCTGGCAAAATTGAATTAATGCATAACAAGAAGGTGCATATTTGCTTTTATTCTTACTTAGAACTGGATTGTTTACATTATTGTTGCGTGCTTGTAAAACATGCACACAATAATATTATAAAATTAATCTCTTTACAATACTGTTTACCTCTTTATGTATCAGAAATAAGGGGGAGGGTATTTAACCACAAGAATAAGTTTAAACCAGATACGTGTAAGCACCAGAAAAGACAGTCAAACAGTTTTCACAAATGAATATTAAATGTCAGCTGTTTTTATTGAAAATTAAAGGAGTTACAAAAAAAATAAAGAAAATAAATAAACATTCCAATCTCATATCTACGAAAGAAACAGAATTTTGATACTTCCTCCTTCCATGGAACAGAAACAACCTAACCTATTAAGTCAACCCCTAACACCTTTTCCATGACTCAAAACACAAATAGCTTTACCATCTCTGTTTGTCTCCTGCTTGTTCCATGATGATGAATGGCCTGACTTCTTACGGGGACTTGTGCTCACTTTTCTCCAAGAAGCATTTTCACCCCTTTTCTTGTTACAGCTTTTGTAACTTGCAACCACAGATAAAGGGAAATTTCCTCCCTTGAAATCTGCTTTATAATGATCCAGCTCTTGAACAAAAATACCACACATTTAAAAGTCATGTTGATAGTGCAAGGTAGCCAGAAAAGTGACAAGCAGTTAGCAAATAAATTAATATGAATAATAGACATTTCTCATGTACATTCCATTCAATGGGAACAAATGTTTTTAATTGCAACACTTCACACCACACCAGCAAAAAAGCTTTCTAAAGTAGGTTTAGCATAATTATTAAATGTTACTAATTCTGCTTAAGACATTCTAATATACAAACTACTTGCTTTTCAGCTGAGAAGTATTATTAGTACCTGCTCTAGGAAGAGGGCAGCCATGCAGGACAGCTTTATTTAACAAGATACTGAGTGCAGCTTTAACCACAGCCTGTTGTCCTTGGCTAGGATATTTTTTGGCTGCTGTTTGTCCCAGTGCAGATGGTCTCTTCACAGAGGCTCTGGAGAGTATTGCTTCTTGAACTCTGGGGGCAATTACAGAATTCCATAGCTTGGACATCCACCTTTGAAGCATATAAGCAAGAAAAATTTCTTTAGGACACACTGTCAAAGAAATTTTACACATATCTGACCTATTATGGGGGAGTTCCAATAGGGTGCAGAGGTATATTTTGTGCCTTTGAGATATCATTTTTAAACATTAGAAACTTTCACATAAGGACTCTGCTTAAATCCATCCCTGTGTGTCTGTCTTTCAATCTGCATGTCTTGATCAAGCTCATAATATGCAAGAACACTAGCTGCAAGCTACCTAATGCTTCTAACGCATAAAACAGAAAAAAAACTATGCTAAGGTAAGGCCCTTTCATAGCATAATAAAGCAAAAACAAACAAATAAAAAAATAAAACCCAAAATACTATTCTTTAGATGATCACATTTAATTTTTAAGACCAAGGCCAAAAAAAGAAGCTGGCCAAGCTGACTGTGTGAACTGATAATTTCCCTGACTTATTTGTTCTGCTCTTCAGAATCCAAGTTGTGATTAAAAAAAAAAAAATCAGAACACTTCTTGGTGCAAAAAACCTGCACTGATAGTTTGCTGAGCTTCCTGTTCAGCCAGAGAAACTGAAACAATAGGACTGACTTGTTAATGGAACCTAATTATAAGCATTTATGTGACAACAGTTTGCCACCACACCTCCAATAAACAGCCAGTAAATATTAATTGCAGCTGTGTTTATTTTATGTATATTCTTGGATAAAAATACATTGAGGTGGAATTATGTCTGAAAGTACATATCAGTAAATTAAAAGACTTCAACGCATTTGTTGTAATTACCCCAAGACTAAGTATTATGAATATGGTTAATGTTACACTTTTAAAGAAATCAAAATCAAGTCAAAGGTAGAAATGGCTAGGGGCTGAGATGGGGGGAGCTGGTGTATCTCACTGTACCTTTACATTGCCAAAGAGGGACTATAAATCTTACTTCACTGTCATGTGACCATAACCAGGCACCACTGGACAAGAGAAGAAGTGTTTTGGCCCTAGGACCGCTTCAGGTGCACCTAGCCGGGATAAGCAGGAGTTCAGCTGGTGCCAAACAGTAAGAATCCAGTCGATGACCTTGCATACTGGATTGTATGGAGGTGGCACTTTACCTCTGAACTAGAGAGGGAAAAAAAAGACACGGGGTTTGACATAATTTAATACTGGTATCAAGAAGGAAGAAAGGCGTGCTTGGTTTTTAGTTACTTGAATATTATGAAAATCAGTTACAATTAAAAACAAAAACACCTCCTTTAACGATCTGGAAAAGTCCGAGTAAATCTGCATCAAGTATTCTGAACACCTCATGCATTAGACCTTGTTTCCTTAAACATATAATACAATATGATTACACAAAAAATAAAAGGTTCAAATAATTTTGTGGACATGTGGCTAGATTCTTTCACCTTGGTACATATATGAGGCACTTAATAGTCATGTAACTGATGTCTTTGGCACTTAATCACAGTTAGGGTTCAATGTAGCTACATGCACCTATGTTTCCCTTCTGAGTGTGGTTAGTAGGTTGCATTCAGAATGTGTAGGTGCCTGGGGAGAGGAGAACTGTCTGAGCAAGCATGTGACACTGTGTAAGACCAGGAACAACACTCAGAAACATGATTAGTTAGTGTTTATTGCTGTTGGAGGAGAAGGATCCTCCTTAGGATTATAAACCCAATAGCCTAACTGTTAGGACACCAGGAATGGAACAGAAGATCCAGGTTTCAGGCATCCCTCCCTTAGAGAGGGTTTGAAACCACATTTCCTGCTTCTCGGTAAAGTGCTTGAACTACCAGGCCTTGCTTAAGGCATTGTCTATTACACGCTCCAGGCAGAAGGTGGCTCAGTGAGAGAATAGCATCCTGGAAAAGCGAGGGCTCCAAAATGATGCTAGATTTGTTTATCTATTTTATCCAATACACTTAAATGCATGTTGCAGTGACCCTGGTTTAGTGATGGAGAGAACAATGATCAATTCCTAGCCTGTGGCCTGGTGTTTGGAGCACACTGATGTGAAACAGAAGATACAGGTTCAAACACCACCTGAGTGATTCCATCTGGACCATGGTAGGTCACTTGGTCCTGCCCAGCCAGGTGTGGGGGGGCAGCTCAGGCTGTGTCGGGAGTGACCCCTGTGCCACCACAGGGTGTGGAGGCGCTGCCTGGTGCAGCCCGCTCTATCCTGGTGTGTGACTCTCAGGCATGCTGGGAGCTGCAATCTGCAGGGCCAAGGGGTGAGGCAGTGGGGCAGGGGCAGTGTGGAGGTTAGACTTGGCTTCCCCACTCAAGGGCAGATGTGCATCCCATTGCTGCTGCCACCACCAGACTCCAGCCCTGCTGCCTGGGTACCTTGGGTCCCTCCGCCCATCACCCATTGCTGGAGGTGCCAGATGGAGCAGGCAAGTGAGCAGAGTTTCCATGGAGACTGGCCTGGGGCCCCTGTGGGCAGTGTGTGCTCAGCCTGTTGGACGGAACAGGGCTGCATCCGGGAGTGGGACAGGTGGGTGGGGTTGGGATTATGGCACGGTAACAATGCAGGACCAGTTCCACAGGCTCTGCCCACATGGGAGGAGTGGACCAGGGCTCTGCCCTGAGCCTCAGCCCTGCACTGTCACCACCCCATGAGCCTGTCCCCACCCCACCCACTTGGTCCAGTGCCCTTGGCAGTGGGTGTTGGGAGGATGGGTCCACAAATGGATAGGATAAATTGGCATTTCCCTGGGCTGACCCCCTACACCGTGCTAGGTGGTGTAAACAGCTGTGACTGTTGCCTAAGGTTGGGTCAGCTCCCACCATGCCCTCTGGCCCTCAAAAGCAGACCAAAATTCCTTAAATGGCCCTCCCATTAAAATAACTGCCCACCCTTGCACTGGAGTATGGAGCTAAGCAGCAGCAGGGCTTTCATCCTCTACCAGCAGGCAGGCATGCAAGGCATCTTATTCTGCCACTGGTGAAAACAATCTAAATCATCTGAAGTGAAAACATTGCTGTTCTTTATTCATTCATTCAATTTATAGGTTGCCCTTCTCCCCAAAGACTCCATGACTACATAAGAACCTTAGGGATGGGAATTTGAAACAAGATTTAGCCCAATATTTTGCATTCAACCAAACAAACAACCCTTCAGTGATGCAGAACAAACAGAGTACACCTCATGGGGGAGGTGGGAGAGTAACCCCCCCAAACAAAACAGAGGGATGCAGAAGGATATAAAACAAATATATCCCTCTAAAATAATAAATATTACCACCAGATTTCTGTAGATCAATAACCTTGCTACAAGTCAGAAACTTGCATGGATTTTTGAGCAGCCAATTTTGAATAAATAAGCTGAATGAATTTGGGAAGAACAATTTCCTCTAAATTAACATTTCATGGTATCTCTTCATTTAGATTTAAAAATCTTGCACTTTATTATTCTTGGGGGAATAAAAAATCCGTGAAGGTGTAAACCTAAGGAACTTAGGTGTTAAGGTCAAATTAATGTTGCACAGCTCTGAACAGTTTATCTTCAGAAAATAAAATACATGCTAATTTTAAGATGATATGCAGTAAAACACCTAGTTCTTATGGGATCACAATCTCTTTATGTGCTAGAAAAGTAAGAATTAAAACTAAATGCCTCTGTTAATAATATAGTAAAGTATTAGCATACAATGATTATCTTACAGATTCCCAAAGAGGTAATTCACTCTATTACAAGATAGTTTTTTTTTCTTTTCATATTATAGGCAACATTAGATTCTTGGCTCTATCAAGTGATTAGGAATTCAAAGTTTTGTAATGTACAAGTTAGATATATTTTATTTTTAAAGCATGGCTGGTGAGGTTGGTTGTTGGGTAGCTTTGTCAGTTACTTCCAGTTTAGGTAATCTTTCACTTTTAGATTGCTAGTTTAAATGGAACCCAAATGGCAACAGTTTTTAGTAAGTAAGGGCCCTTCTACATATTACAGATATTGTGAAATTAACTGGGGTGTGTGGGGTTCCCAGCTACAGGAACTTGCTTCTTGCCTGGGATTGGGCTCCTCCTGCACCAGCAATAAGGCACGATGGGATCTCATATGCGATCCCACAGTCGTGCCTCCTGCCACGCATGTGTGGCATGGTAGGTGGTACAACTGTGTGAGTTGTACATTAAATCCCACTGCGCCTTTACCTGCACATGTAGAGGGGCCTAGTATTTTTCAGTCCAGCCCCAGAAGTCAATTTCATAAATATCTTTATCACCAAATACAAATCTTGGAGCTGTCCAGAGAATGAAAAATAGTCACATTTTATCACATACTAACCAACACACTTTAAATGGGGCTGGGTAAAAATTTTCTATCAAAACTGGTTTTAATATAAAATCAAGTTTTTCACAAACTACATTTTTGAAATGTTTCTGCTTTCTGCAGAAAATTTCATTTTTTTTGTTGAAAAATCAAAATCCCCTCCTAATAAAAGGTTCGACTCAAAACTAAAATATTTTAGAGGCTGGACAAAATATTTCTATCTGGGTAATCTGCCCCGATGCTTCATGGGACCTGTAGTTCAGTTTCCTCCTGTTCTCCTTTCTGTGCCAGTCTCCTCAGCTAGCCAGGCATCTCCTGTGACAGAGCTGCTTTCCCAATTACAAGAAGTGACCATGACGAATCATGAGACATCTAGAACAAACTGGGAATCTCAGCCTATGACAGAGATGCGAGGCTTGAAATATTTTCAAACAGAAACATTTTGGGGGTTTATCTGAAATATTTTATTTTTCATTGAAAAGTTAGAACTCACCTCCTTCCCCAGCCAAGTTTAGTATTGATATGATTTTAAAGGGACTGGCACCTAATGTAAACAGGGTAAGCAATTCATATACAAGTTGATAATGCTGAGTCCTACAAAACACCTCAGTGTGACTTAAGTTGATGCTTCATTTAAGCCAATTTTGTTTTTAGTTTAAAAATAGTTTAACTATGTACCATTCTACTTTTATCAATGACAGACCGGTGCTATTCACCTTCCTACTTGTGGCCAAATACAGTATTTGCAGATACGTTTATCCCTGAAAGGGACACTTGGCTTGTTTGTAATTTAGTGTAAAATCGTTATTTAAGTACAGTTCTGGAGGGTGAACTTCTTGGTTTTTTTATGGTTAAATGTTTTTAAAAGGGAAAGGAACACTTTCTGAATAATTCTCTTATTTATGGGATTCTTCTTTTGGCAATAACACTATGTACATTTCATAACATCTATACTGAGCAAAATCCCCTGAAGGCCCTACCAGTTGCTCCTACCTTGTTTATAACTTTCCTTCTTAAAAATCTTTCAAGCAAGCCATGGATCGGTTCTCCATCCCACCTTAGCTGAACCCAGCGGAAATGTTGCTGAACCACCAAGTCAGAACCTTGAAGACGACACTTTGCGATTGTTCCCATTAGAAAGCAGTTCTCATGAAAGTAATATGCCTCAGAAATGCCATCTGCTAAAAATGAACCAGAGACATTTTACTGCATAGAAGTTTTGATTATTGTAATTTTACATAAACGTTAGTAACACTGGTGTTATTACAAATAAATTAAATTGGAAATAATGAACTTTAAAATTTATCACATGCAGTTAGGAACAGCTGTTTTGGAATGATATATGAAGCCAAAATATGACATTTAATTCTTTTAATTAATCCATCATATGCTAACTATTAAAGTAAACATTTCTCTACCCATTTTTTAAATACCTCTTTGAACAGTGCAGGGACTTTCAGAGCCACGATTCTCAAGAGGTGCCAAAAAGTCCCCAAGTAATTCAGATAAGGATGCTTTTTCTAGATTCTCTAAAATCACAATAGTTTTCTTGCTTATAGGAAGCTGCTTCACTGGGATTAGACAAGCTGTAATATAAAAATCCCATTAAATATCTACTTATGACAAAAACTTTTTTATTATAAATATTGCATTTAACAACACTTATCTTTGTTAGTTTTTGCCTTCTGCATTTATTGAAAAAACAGAACAAGTGAATGGATTATAGAATATTTCATATTCAAAAAATAAAAAAGGTATAAAGACTATATCTGCACCTGTAACAAAAGCTTGTTCATTGTGAGTGGAGAAATGAGCATATGATAAAGCAAAGACGCTATTTACATGCTCCAGAGAGTCACTGTTTGCCTGGCTGAGTTCCAAAAATTTTATTGCCCAGGAAGAAATCTCTAAAACCCATCTTCAGCTATCAAATCAAAACAAAACAAAAAACCCAAGGGTAACAAACCAGATACAATAATATTTAAATTAGAGGTTGAAATTCTCATACACCACACAGAAAAGCTAGGTTTGGGGTCTATTTCTTTTCCTTCTTTTTTTTTTTTTTTTTTTAAGAAACTTGCCTATTTAAATCTAGTCAGTAATAACAGTAACCAGCAATTTGCCTGAAGATTTGATCACTGAAAGTCCCTCAATATGAAGATGACATTATTCAATATATAGGCAAGTCAGTGGCAAGTCTGCAGAAGACTGAAGAAGCTGATTTGAGATGCACACACATAAGACTGCAGATACGGCAAACAGTTCAGGAAGGAAGGAGTAGATCCTGGTGATGGCAAGTCACAGTTCTTTCCTTTGTCTTTGTCATATATCTGCCACCATAGTGAGGTTATTGTGCTCAAAATCATCAATGCCTGGTTGCACATCACTGTGCCATTGTGGATGATTCAGTGTTCAGGTCTCCCAGGTAATGATATTAATATTGCATTTCTTCTTTTGCCCACCTCTAGAGTGGAGCTGGTGCTGTATAAACATGGCTTCAATGTTGGTGCTGTTTCCTTGAGCCAGAACACTGGCATTTATTCTTCTGTTCTTCCAACTGATATGGAAGATTTTCCAAAGATTACTAAAAGAAGGCTGTCTTTGTGGATAGTTGACGGAATGAACAAGATGTCATAGGTTCAAATGGATATAACTCATCACACTTCTGAAGGCTAAATTCAGGTCCCACTCAATCAGATCACTTAACTTGAGGAAACACTTTGGTCAGGCCCCTCAGGAACTTTTGTTCTTCAGGATGAGAAAAGACTGATTTGCCTTCCTTTGGCAGGTGAAAGGCCAATATTGTGGACCCTGACTGAATTCTGAGATATGCTATTCTATTTTGGCTCCAGCAGAACATCCCTCTGCCTGGAGAAGAGCAGGTTTTATTACTACACAGAGCAATCCAGAATCCAGGCTGGAAAATGGAGGAAGTTCAGGCATAGACTGAGTATCCTCCCCATTTTTTCCCAAGAAAGCACATCTGGGAGCACTAGCAACATCTTGAGGCTCCTTAACGACAGATGAGCATGATTCAGGAATCAAATTGCTTTGGTCAGGCTGAGGTCAGCAGGATAAGCTATACATCCATGTTCCACTGCAAGCAGCACTCTCAGGATTAAAGAATCAGGCAAGTGGGCATACAACAGCCTCCCTGTTCACAGAATGTTTCAGTGTCAGATAAGGATTCCACTAGACCAGGAGATCCTACACCCTTTTTACTGAGAAAGACAAAACTCTGATCTCTGGACAAGGTGGTGTCCAAAACCACTCATTTGTAGTTTGAGGCAATGTGCTGAGAATATCTGCTGAGAATATCTGACGTGCTTCTTTGAAGGCAAGGGAGAGGTATATCTAATGACAAACATTCTACTGCTTTCCACAAGGAAAACCTTGCACCACCTCGCCTTCTGATATAAAACATAGCAGTGGTATTGTTCATTGTAAAATAGATGAGAAATCTCGAGACATAACACAGAAACAATTGGGAAGCTTTGTGCTCCAAATTCCACAAACACGGATGTGGTTTTTCATCTGCTCATATAATCCAAAGCCTGGAAACTGAAGATCACCTACCTATATGTACTCCTCAACCCAGCAGCACGGCATGTTTTACTATTGACATCTGGGTCTGAGGCAATGAAAGTGATGCCCTTGTAAGTGCTGGTTGGATCCTTTCAGTACATCAGAGAAGAATGGAATAGAAGGGGAACTGCAACCACTGGCTGCCGATACGTGTGCTCGCTGGCATTCTAACTGTTGGAGTAGACTTGATTTAAATTAAAATTCTTTTAATATAGGTTATTTGAATTAAAATGCTCCAGAGTCGCAGCAACATCACATGTCTCAAGGCCCCGTGTGTTTTAAAATGGCTGTGGAGCACTTTATCTAAACCTCATCGAATGAGGTCCAGATAGTGTCCCACAGCCATTTTTAAACATGCAGGGGCTTAATATGTGCAACACTGAGGTATTTTAATTAGAGCAGTTGTCCGGGAACACATGTATAGGCAGCCACTGTGTCTACAGCAGACGTTTACTTTAATTAGCCCCTGTGTGTAGCTGAAGTGTATCCTGGCTTAGAGCATCATGCAGATGCACAAAGCCATGTGAACCAGGAGAAATATGCAGGTTCTGTCTCTTAATGATGGATGACTTTCAGACTGAACTATTATTTCAGTCAAGATCTGGAATCCCTCAAGGGGAAGGTAAATGATGGCTGGCAATCTCTTTAAATTTCAGGCTCTGTACTAAGAACAAGTTCAGCTTTCAAGGGTTTGTCCTGAGCTCCTGGGTGTTAAACAAGTACAAGATATACAATCTCTTCTGCTACCTACTGGGAAGATTTGTCCTTCATTAGCCAGGTGTCCAAGTACTGCAGTGTTTATATGCAGGTAGACCACCACCACTGCAAGGACATTAGTGAAAAACCCTGAGGTTGCTGAAAATCCAGAAAGTCAGGAACTGGTAATGATCTGTGCTGACCATGAACCACAAATATTCTGTGATGGAGGCACAACAGCAATATGGAAATATTTAACCTAAAAGGTGACAGTTATAAAGCAGTAGTCTGATTCAAGGGAGGGGATTATGGCAACCAGCATCCCGGCTACAAAAATTCCAGCGGACTAACATAGTAGATAGTAAACAAAACTTCAGGACGAGTTACACTCTGGCTAATCATACTTTGGGTTTCCTTTAATACAGGTTATTTGATTACTCTTTTTATAGTGCCTTTGTAGCTCCAGAAACATACTACTTATGATTCTATATATCCAACTTTTTAATAAAAGTTCTAAATTAGATTCTGTTGCTTGGGAAAGATGCTAAGAGTCTGGAAGAAGGTGAAGTTCTGTACTCATGGAATGATGAAGCAAGGATGGACCTTTTATCTGGTTCAATTTCCTTAGTACAACGGAAAGGGGATAGAGGAAATTAAGAACTCTTTAACAGAACTTGCATCAAGTTTACACAAACCTTTACACGAAGCATGGAAATGTCACCTTTAGTATTAGCTTACACAAGAGACTTGTCTTTTATCTCCAGTTTCTGAAAAATTCAGAATTCTATTAGCGTTTGCCCTAGTCTATGCAAAACATGTTAATGTGCTTATTTTGTATGCATTATTAAAACCCTGTCTTCTAGTTATTAAAACCAGATTTTCTGAAATAATCTTACCGCTATTAATGAATATTTCTGCAAGCTGCTCCTTAGAGAAATCAGCATCCACGTCAACTTTAACTATTTCACAGGTGAATCCTGCAGCCACTTGTTTTTGCTGTAGTGAAAATTCACAGGTTTAGTGAAGCTTTACATGCTCTCAATTCCAGACTATTTTTTGGGAGAGTATTTTGTCTCAATACCTTCATGCAGAGTGCTATCTGATATGCTATATAGTCTTGTAAACTTCCTTCTGGACCATGAAAGATGACATTATGGTATTGTTCAACCTGTAGGTGAAAGTAAATATAACATGAATGTTTGCAGGCTGGGATATTTTACAACCAAACTAAAATAACCAAAACCTAAATGGATGTTGGAATTTTTGTTTCATATTATTGGAACCAAGATACGTTACTAGTCAATGCTCTTAAATGTTAAGTATTGGTATGCTGCTGTTTTAAAGACAAATCTATATTTCAAGAAATTAAATGGAAGTTTTCTTAATTTATAAAAGCTATGTAAAAAAAATTGTGTTTCACTACTGGCTGAACTTGATGAACAAGGGTGCACTAGCTAGAGATAACTTAATCAAAACCTATGCCAAAAAAGATCAAGTTGGGACTGGATAATCCACAACAGGTATTTCAGTGAGAATACTAACCTGACAGGTAAAGCATTACAATTTAGCTACTAGAATCTGAAGTCAGTTGTTCATATGCTAGAACTAACTTCCTGTTAGAGTCCAGCTATTTGTCCATGTCTAATTTCCTTCTTTTTTTTTTTTTTTTTTTTTTTTTTTTTTACTTAAACAGGTGTTAACCTTTAACTGAATGACAAAGCCATCTCTAATTGATATTCATAATATATCACATAGTTTTCTGGCAAATTAAAACTCATTTAGAATCAAAACTACTTGTGGATCTCAACTCTGTAAAATCAGGTGACTCCAGAATTTTAGCACTGATGTACAATTGATTTTAAGGAAGCATACAAACTATTTATTTTTACCAAAATGCTAAAAGAAACTGACATCTATAGCAGCTTCTGCTAATCATATAGAATACCAGCAGAGGGCTCCAGAGATAAAATTTCACTTATGTATTAATTAATTTTGAATTGGCACCATCACTACTAAAGCAATGACGACCAAAAGTTAACTTAAATCATCCACATTTTCTTTTTCATTCAGTTTTCACACAGCCAACAACTGACATTGTTGAAAGAATATGAACTGTATAAACAAATTGTTGTTAAATAAGAGTGAGAAATGGTTTATCAAATACTTTATGAATGAATTGGAGATCAAAATTCAGTTTAATCTTTAAAGCTGTCAATATGTCACGCTTTTATAATACTTTAATACTTGCTTCAGTCAATCAATCAGTTAGTAGCTAGTAAAAATATGAAAATTACCAAATTCATTTCTAATCTAGTAAGCTATATTTTCTGAGACAAAGCAAGGGGCTGAAAGTTAAAACGTTTTGAAAAAAATGACTTTAAAAACAGTTATTTTAGGTTTAGATACTATTGTTCTGACAGCATGCATTAAAAAACCCTTAAAATTGTTTAAAGTAAAATACTACACAGGCTTCATAAAACCAAAAAAGGCAAAGCAGTAGTGTCAATCTTGAGGTAATTAAAGGACTATAAAAAATGTCAGTATGCCAATTTTACGTTTCCAATGTCCACAGACTGAGTTAAGTGTGTTTTTAATGAAATAGTGACCACAATACAGACTTTATTAAACCTGTGAAAGATTGAGTAATCTAGTTCAGTTTTATACTTTTCAGCCAAATATTCATTTAATTTCATTAAAAAAGTTCAGGCATCCTACTTCACAATAATATTTATTTCTAGTTATAAGTACTTCAACTAAACAAAGCAATTATGATATAAAACAAAATATCAACATTTCCTCCTTAATATTAAGAAGAAACATACACTGGACACAGAATGTCTGCACTTTATTGTTAATGTATATGTATAATGTAACAGATAAAAATCACACCATGAACAGGAACCTGGTGGTGCTCAGGTGGGAAAGACAAGGTTGCTAACACATGGAGTTCACTATTTAACAAATAAAATATAAATAGAAGATGGGGTATTAAATACAGCGCAATGTTTACTACTAACAAATATGAGAAATGCTTATATTTGAAATTCCTTGATTTTTTTTGTGGATTTTTAATATTCTTTATGACAAAGTTGATACTTCATTAAAGGAACCTTTTGGAAGAATGGTGCAGAAATTGAGGACTGCATACTGTGTTGAAGAAGAAGTCCAAATTTACATTAAAATTTCTGCCAAATGCTATTTTGAAAAAAAACAAAGAACTTTTTCACGAAATCATATTATAAAGTTTTGTTTAGAAATATATTTGCAGAAGCAGTCCCTATAATGTCAGTGCTTAATTTCAACATTTTCAGAACAAAGTTATTTATTCTATTAAAACCCCCCAAAACAAGCAATGACAAAAATCAAAATAGAAATGAAACATTTCAACCGACCCCAAAGTCATTTTTCTCAGAATTCCTCTTTGAAAGTTTTTCTAAAGATCTGGCTTACCACCCTAATGCAAGGGTTTTGTGAATCCTGTACATTTTTGCAGGTTGAAGAAATCCATCTCTACCCAACTTTAGAACAGAGAAGTTTTCCCAAATCCACGAGAGATGAAAACAAACAAACAGTAGTTTGGTACCTACCAGCCTGAGATAATTCTGCAGTGTCTGAAGATGGATCATAGATGCATAAGTCACACTATTTAGGCAGCCTTCTTGAGGACCTTTAAAAAAATGCATTAGATAACATTTGTAATCCTCATTATTTGCAAAAATAATGGTGTTATTACACAAAGTTAGTATCTGCTAGCCAGATGCAGTGACATCTTGAAGACCATGAAACAGAGATCTGATGCATGGAACAGAACAACTGGCATAATGCAAACATTTTTAAGGGACTCCAGCAGAGTGGAACAGAAAACAGCCTTAAAACAATATAAACAAGGTCAATTCAAGAAATTAAGGTGCTAAGCTTCATTTTCCTCAAAATAATGGCAACCTCAACCATAAGAGTTCCTAAATGCTACCTCAGGCAGGCATGGTCTTTTGAGTACATGTGATATCTTTTATTAGACCCACTGAGTAGTTGGAAAACAGTTCTTAGCAAGCTTTCGGGCGCAGTTGCCTTTCTTCAGGCATAGGGAGTCTCTGCTAGTCTGAGACTCCAAGGAATGAGGGAAGCTGAAAGTGTAACAGGATGTCAGTGAGAATGTAAATAGGTAGAAACAGAATATTTTCACTGATATCCTGTCACACTTTTAGCTTCTCTCATTCCTGTTTTCCTGATCTCCAACTATTTCCTTTTTCACAGACAGCCTCTTTTCTACGTTGTACCTTGTATTCGTATTCTATCAATGTAATGTTTCCCGTTAGCCTTTTTCTTCTCCCCTGCTTTCTCCCCCCTCCCTTCCATGCTTTACCTTTTGTCTTTCTAATTTCTACCTAACTGCATTCTCACTGACATCCTGTCACACTTAGCTTTTCTCATTCCAGCAGAGACTCCCCATGCCTGAAGAAGGGTGACTGTGCCCAAAAGCTTGCTAAGAACTTTCTTCCAAGTACTTAGTTGGAAGATATCACATCTACTCAAAGAACCTTTCCTGCCTATGTCCTTAGACTGACATGGTTACAACCAAAAACTCAGCTAAATGCTACCTCTTTTTTTAATGCACTAGATGCAGTTCTCATTTTAACCGAACTAACTTATAGATGACTAGCTTCATCTGACATTTAAGAGGAGACTTCTTTTCATTCTTTAGTATGATAAAGGAGCAAGAATTCACAACATCTACAATGAATATTAAAATATTACATAACAAAATAACTGTAAATGACTTTACCAAACAAAAATACAGTTATGTTTTCAGCTGTGTTCCTGTTCAAAAACTCCCATGGTGGCTGGGGAAAAATCTGACCTGGTGACCATGAAACATTTCCTGTAAGAAAGAAAGAAGGCACATAAACATTGTATCTATATAGAGTCTTTCCCACCCACAGCATACCTCCCTGCACACACTAGGTGTGTACATGTACTCTGTTGACAAACAAATCAGATCTAGGTAGACATTTCTTACAAATTATTAAAAATACAGTTTTCAATACTGGAACACTGTGGTATGCAGATTAATACAATACAATATACTGCTATTTAATAAACACTGCCCATATTAAATTAAATTATGCAATGTCAACACTGAAATAAAACCAGGCTAACTGAGTCCATCCAAGAATGTATATTAGGTTGCTTTCAAATGCAAAGCCTGATTTTCCATAGTTCTGCACCTTGTATGTCACCGCAAAATAAACATCCAATGATAGCATTCCAATTTGTATTTACTTGTTGTGTAAAACTATATCAGATCAGAATAGGTGCATCTTAAAAATGCCTACCACTAATAACTACATACACAAAGGCAAAAGATAATGCTAATCAGGCTGTAAAAGAATTTTTTTTGTTTGGTTATTTTGGAGTGGCTGTGTAGTGGACAGCTTTGTACTACACCGGGGTGGGCAAAATACAACCCACAGGACAAATCTGTCCTGCCAAGCACTTTCATCAGGCCCACGGTGCCCACCAACAAATTGTGCCTTGCCCAGCCATTCTGCCCATGAGGGTAGGAGGAAGGTGCCCATGCATACAAACAACTCCAAACGTACCTGTAACAGGGAACCCTAGCCCTGTTACTAAGAGACAGGGTGATCCCTTTAAATCCAGAACCTTCCAGTCATGGCCGGCCGGTCGGTCAAGTAGGGGTTAAGGCTCAAGCCCTGCCAACCAGTCAGGTGACAGGAAGAGGAAGGCCAGGATCCTACAAATGGCAAGTGGAGAAGGCCAGAGAGGCGGATTTCCAATGACTGTGGTGCTGCATCTGCAGTCTCTGCTGGAAGAATACGCTACTTTGTGAGCCAGATGCATGACCATCTAAAGTAAGCAGGCATGTTGCCTATCTTATTTCTTTATTATCCTTTTTCCATTCTATGGCCATAGAAGCCTATGTTTTGCATTGGATGTTAATACCCGGAGGATTGGGCTGAGGCTATTTGGGGAGGAGGCCTCATTTGGAGACCCACTTCAGTGTGGGGACCCCAGCGCCAGAGAGGGCGCAGCATTTGAGGGTGAGTGGACCCCAGCGCCAGAGAGGGCGCAGCATTCAGGGGTGAGAGGACCCTAGTGCCAGAGGGGGTGCAATACTTGGGGGTGAACAGACCTCAGTGCCAGAGAGGGTGCTGGAGCCCAAGTGAGTCTTTGAGAGCTAGAGCCTTGGAGTCAAGCCCTGATTAGTGGGTTTTTGACTGACAGGTCTAGCTAGGGAGAGAAGGGGTAAGCCCACAGCAGCCAAGATCCCAACATAGAGAGAAATTTATAAATACCATCTGCAAGGCTTGGGCTCTGGTGTAGGGGAGGAATGGAGCCACAGATAGCAACCCCTGGCATCGGGGCAAGAAATGGGCACCCTCCCGCTTAATTAACAACTATTAATTAATTAACATCAAGGCATGGCAGGAAAAGGTGGGCAGTTGGCCCATAAACAGGTAAGTAGGCCAAAGGCAAAACTGGCCCTGGGAAGCCCCCATTACAATACCCAACTGCCTTGCTTCCACCCTTGTGGGCGGAAGGGCCCAATCAGCCGGTGTGTAGCTTTCATGCAGGGCTGCTGCCACAGCCGAAGCAGCCTGCTCCACTTCCCCAGTCTGCTGGCTCCAGGCAGCAGGTAGAGAAGCAGCAGGGCAGGAACGTGGAGCTGGTGGCAGCGTGGAGTCTATGTGCCAGGGAGTGGAGGCAGTGTGGAGCTGGGGTGGGCAGCATTTGGGTGAGTGAGGGTGAGGGGTGCGGGAACCCTCCTCCACACTCCTTCCTTACTCCCCCCCATGGTGTGCAGCCCCAACAGGCTGTGGCAGCAGCAGTGGGCAAGGCACAGCTCTGGCCAGCACTGCACATCACAGCCAGGAGTGCATCCTCCACTGGGCTGCCTGTATTGCTGGTGCTTCCTCCTACTTATGCATAGCCACTGCACTTGCACAGCATAGGAGGGAAGCCCCACGTGAGGGAGCCAGGTGCCTTCCCTGCCAGGGCTGTGCAACACAGGAGAGAAGCTTCAGTTGCTGGAGCCGGCTGCCTTCCCCTCAGCTGGGGGCTGAGCTGTAGGGGAGGGAAGCCCCAGGCACCTTCCCCTGGGGAGCTGGGAAGGGAGTGAGTTCCAGTGCCTGGTGCTTCTCTCCAGTGCTGTGCAGCCCCGGCCAGAAAGGCAGCCGGCTTCAGCACATGGGGCTTCTCTCCTGTGTTGTGCGAGAGCAAGGGCTATGTGTGAGCGACAGGGTGTGCTGGTGATACAGGGAATACAGGAGGATGCATTCCTCCCTGTGATGTGCAGCACTGGCCAGAGCCATGCCCCATTGGACACCTGTGCCCTGAGTTCCTGCCTGCTGCTGTCATGGGGAGAGTGCGGGGGGGGGGGTGTCCCCACACCCCCCCACCCTCCGTCCCACACACACCCACACCCTGCCCCCAAAACTCCCCAAAATAGCCTATACCTTTCCCACACAGCCACACCCCCTCACAACGCCCCCACACCCTTCCACATCCTACCACACATACATCCCCCACACCCACTGGCTGTA